ATATATATATATATATATATATATATATATATATATATATATATATATATATATATATATATATATATATATATATATATATATATATATATATATATATATATATATATATATATATATATATATATATATATATATATATATATATATATATATATATATATATATATATATATATATATATATATATATATATATATATATATATATATATATATATATATATATATATATATATATATATATATATATATATATATATATATATATATATATATATATATATATATATATATATATATATATATATATATATATATATATTTATATCATATGATTGGTGTTAGAAATTCTGCAAAACAGACATTTATTTTTGCGTTCGACATAAGAAAATGAATCATATGCATTTGGAACAACATGAGGGTAAGTTATAATGATAGATGATTAATTATTATGTAAACTATTTATTTTAATTACAACCTGGTGGGGTTTAGTGAGTTTAGGGCTTTTGTGGTTTATGTTGAATGAAAAACTCTGCGTATAATGGAAAATCATAATCTCCACCATCGTAATGCTAGAGATAAGATGCAGCAGGTCCTCATTTCAGACTCAGGTTCTGTTCAGAATGAAATACTTGCTTTATGCGCCTTACTGTACACTCTCAGAAATAAAGGTACAAACTCTGTCACTGGAGTGGTACCATTTCAAAATGCACACTTTTGGACTATACGGGTGGACATCAGTACATTCAGGGTATGCTTTTGTACTTTTAAGGTTCAGTTTGGTGGGCGCATTTTGACTCAATGGTTAGCACTGTTGACTCCAGTGTTGGGTAAGTCACTTTAAAAGAGTAATATATTACAAATTACTGATTACTACTGGAAAATTGTCATCTGATTACATTTCTAATAACTTAATATAAAATGTAATCAGATTACTAATTACTTTACTTTGAAGTTACTTTTAAAACACATAAAATATACCTATAAAAATACAAAATGAACTGCAGCTCTTTCAGTGATTTAATATTCACTAAGGAACATTACAATGGATTGATCACAGCAACTTGACATATTCAAAAGACTTAAGAACTTAAAATTCTCTCATTATTTACTTGTTACAAACCGGTTAGTCTTTGTTTTAGACACAAAAGAAGACATGAAGAAAACTGTATAACTGTAACCAGGGACATCCATTAATCTGTTTTTAATATTATTTGTTTTTATTTTCTTATACTTGACCCTTTTATTTCTGTTTATGTAAAGCACTTTGAAATGCACTGTGTATGAAATGTGCTGTATAAATAAACTTGCCTTGCCATGGTATGAAAAAGCACTGCAGTGTTTGGGTGTTCAGTGTTTGTCTGAGAAAATTAGTCTACCGAAATGTGTATATTCCATACAAAGTATGAAGCTGACCGGTCAGTTCTCAATGAATTCTCAATGAAATCAAAGTTGATTTCTCAATGATTTCTCAATGAAATCAAAGCTTTTCATTTGCTTGATGCGTGTGCACGTGAAGGAGCCGGTGAGTGCCAGCACACACACACACACACACACACACACATTATGTACATCTCGACATGTGAAAGTGTTCCTTCATACCGCTAACGCTAAAAACTGTGCATGTCATAGATCAATTTTAACAAATAAAAACACTTACAGGTTTTGGCTTAAAATCCACAGCTTCATCGGTGGGAGAAGTTTTAACTGAGTCCAGCACTGAACAATGAGAGATTCTGTAAGCTCTCCTTTGTCAAATGCTAGCTATATATTTTTATAGTTCTCTGGAGCATAATTAAAATTGAACTGTAAGCACTTCTGTCTTTGTGGCATGTCCTTTGGAAGCCCAAATACAGAAACAGAAGTAGCTCAGAAAAGAGCAGAAAATAGCAGCGTTTGGACATTTTAGCTTTCTCTGCTTTAACATTACAGCGCCTCTAGTCACACCCTTTCGTTGTGCAGGGTGTGAATGCACATAACCGGAAGCCCTTGTGATCTCACTAGCCCAGATGTATTTTTTTGTAATCCCCAAACTTAATTCGCTGTAGGCTTTGCCAAGCTAACTATGTAAAAGCCAATGTCTTACTTTGCATTGAACTTTGAACATTTTACATTCAGAGATGTTGTTTATGTTCACACAGCTACATTACACATCAACTAAAGTTAAATTGGATATCATAGTGGACCACCCCTTTAAATGAAAGTGAAACCCTCAACAAAAGCTCGACCCCTTCTATGTTTACAAATACAAACGCAGCCCTTTAGACCTCATTTCTGGTTAGTGATGGTTAATGACAGAAGTTTCTGCATCTTGCTTATCTACACTATGAACAGCAGCTACGCTAATTATTCTCTTTTTTTTCTCGATTTCCACCTGGGGATACTCATCCCGAGGCCCTCAGATTATGCTGAGTCACTGATTGGATCCAATACCAGCGATGAGATGATCCCATGGTCTCCATATCCTGGACCAGGCCGTATCCTGAGCTGCTGCTGCACTGGTGGTCATGGGGGAGTGGAGAGCATGAGACTGATTTCAGTGACGCTTCAGGGACAGACAAGTCTTCGCTGAGGCCAGCTTCCAGCCTCCACCGCTGAGACTGCAGCTCTGCACAAGACTTTTGGCCAGTGGAGAAATTAAAATGGTCGTGCCCATCTGAGTCTGGTTTCTCTCACTGTTTGTTTTCTTCACTCTCCTATCGGTGAAGTTTTTTTTCCATCTCCGCTGTCGCCACTGGCTTGCATGGTTCAGGATCTGTAGAGCTGCGCATCGATAAATTTGCTCTTCAGTGTTTGGACTCTCAGTAATGATTTTAAACCACACTGAACTGAGCTAAACTAAACTGAACTGAACTTAAACACTAAAAACTGAACTACCATGATCCAGTTACTATAACCATTTATGTGAAGCTGCTTTGACACAATCTACATTGTAAAAGTGCTATACAAATAAAGCTGAATTGAATTGAATTGAATAATGATGTCAGCATTCATCAGTATTTTGGAATGGATGTGTGAAAAATCTTTTCCAGAAAAAAAATTCTGGAACTTGCCTGTGTGAACAGCGATTTTTTGAATTTACTGGTTAAGTCGTTCCGGAACTTATCCGGATATTTACACACTCTCAAAAATAAAGGTTTGCAAGCTGTCACTGGGGTGGTAACTTTTCAAAAGGTACATATTTGTACTTTAAGGATCCATATTAATACCTCAAGGGTACATATTGGTCAACCCAGGCTTATTCTGAAAATGTAGTTCAGCGGACGTTTCTGGAGACCGCGAAATACGTCCCGGGAGGTATATATTTGTGCAGTTTTTGTTTTGGCGAATCCGCGAGAGGCCGCTGTGTGCGCTTTTTCGTATCTCGAATGTCTCTCGCGAGTGCCGTTCACACCCGCGCTGTTCTCGCGTCAACCTACCAGAGGCCGCTGTCTGACTGACCAAATGATTGACTACGCGACTGGCCAATCGGCTGACCCAACCTCCTTCTTCCCTGAACTCAACCAGTTTTACCGATTGACCCGCCCGCCCGCTCACTTCCCTAAACCCGAGCAACAATTTAGAGAAGCCGTCTAGAAAAAGAAAAGCCCTTGTTTGATTTTTTTACCCCGTTTTCGGATTTCACTATGTTCTCACCCTGTTATGAACTCGTTCACTTTATTTTTTGGATTCTGTTTTTGTCTTACCTGGTTTCTGGAAGCGCTCTTCCCCGGACTCGAACCCGGACGCCTTTGTCAACTCCTCCTCTGCATCTGAAGTCCGCCGACGAACACGATGAGCTGACCGGACAAACTGACTGCAGCGGGAAAGCCCTCCACACGGAGGTAAGCGGTCAGCCGGCAAGCGCGAAAGGGAACAGCGTCACACAGCCCTGTAGCGTTCGCCTAAAAAAATTAAATGCAGCCATACGTACCTCCCGGGACGTATTTCGCGGTCTCGAGAAACGTCCGCTGGACTACGTTTTCAGTATGAGCCTGGGTTGATATTAGTACTCAAAAAGTACAAAAGTGTTCCTCATAAAACTTTTAGGTACTAATATATATTTTTGAGGTACCAATATGGACCCTTTAAGTAAAATTGTGTACCATTTGAAAAGGTACCACCCCAGTGACAGCTCGCGTACCTTTATTTCTGAGAGTGCAGGTATCACTGTGTGAAAGGGGCTATTGACTCATTGCATGGGAACGGTGTTTTGTTTTTCTCTGCAATATTTCACTTTTGGCATAAACCTAACTTGCATCTTTGGATGGAAACATAGCTAATAAAAAGTGTGCAGCGAGAGGCATTTTTGGACTGAACAGTGACAGTGAAAGTCTACAGGGCCTGTAGGACCCATCTCCCGCTCTTATCTATGCAGGCAGGGAGCCTGTATGAGCAACAGAAGGAGAGGAGAGTCCATAAATGACCTCCGCTGGGGTCGGTCTGCTTCAGGAAACAGGCCAACTGGACACTCACACTGGAAATGATGGAAGCTTCCAATGAAAACAGACGATAAAATCCCAGTGTCCCAAGTTTACTGTGAAACACTTCACAGAGAGGGAGTGATTTGCCTGCCGCAGGACACACTGATATAAATTCGAGCTTGTTATTCTTGCGAAAGCAGACCATGGTAACCAGAGTTTGCTAAAAGACCACAGTTACTATAGTTACTGTAACTAACTACCAGAACTAGTTCTGAATAAAATGTGCTGCTTGCAAAACTTTAATGATGCTGTTGCCAGCGAGTTCTGGGTTAGGGCTGGGCGATTTGGCCTAAAATCCAAATCTCGCTTGATTAAACATTTCAACTCCATTTTGATTCATTTTATTTTTATTTTTTGCCCTCACAGTTCATTTTCATATTAAAAGTAGAAAACAAGCATTATCTCTTCTACATAAAATAACTCTTATATATCCTGTAAACCAGGGGTGCCCAAACTTGGTCCTAGAGGGCAGGTGTCCTGCATAGTTTAGCTCCAACTTCCTTCAACACTCCTGCCTGATAGGTTCTAGAATATCTAAAAAGAGCTTGATTAGCTGGTTCAGGTGTGTTTGATTGAAGTGGAATAAAAATATGCAGGACACTGGCCCTCCAGGGCCGAGTTTGGGCACCCCTGATTCAGTCTGAAAGGAAAAAATGCAAGTTTAGATGTCTAGATGTTCTTAATGCTTATTTTCTCACTGTTTTGGAGCACACTAGCTTATATATGTTCTTAACATACTGATACTAACATCTAAAAAAACCTTATTTTGATTGACTACAAATCAATCCAGTACATTACAAGTATGACACTCTGATAATTAGCAGAAAAGCAGGTTAATCAGATTAGATTTTAACAATATTAAATATGGAACAAAATCAATGCCAAAAGTCTTGAATTAAAAAGCTTGTTGAATAGCACAAACTGAAAAAAATAATACACCGTATTAACAAGTTCTTGCATTTTAATGACTTGAATTCCAGGGTTTGTATTTTTAGGTCCTGAAATTTAACATAGCCGTTTATTTAAGCTGTGAATATTTCAATGAAAAATATTTCAAACATGTTTTCATACTTAAAAATTCAATAATTCATATTCAATTTCCAGATTTCACTTACAAAATATTCAATACCCTTTAAAAATACAATGTATAATATTCAAAAGGTCGTTTTCAGTTCATTTTATTTCAGTTCAAATATTCGCTTCCATAAATTCAGTGGATCAAATTCGACTGTTCCTCTGGGTGTACATATGATTTGGATTCACCCCTCAATATAAACCTATAGTTTGTTTTGGCCTAGTTTATCATCCTCGTGCAAAAATCCAATGGATTACTTCAATAAAAGAGCCTCGCCTGAACAAACCAACAAGCAATTAAAGTGTACTTCACGTCTGTAGCTTCAGTGATGGACACCCCATTCAAACCTCTCACCCAGAGTGTGAGCAAAAGTAATTATTACTGATATCTGCCATTAAACACGGCTCCTGCAGTATTTTGGCTGAAACGGTGGTTTCCATGGTAAATGTTGAAAAGACGGTAGAGTCTAGGCAAAAAACCCACATTTAGTGAATGCTGAGAAATATTCAGTTCAAGGGGATTTGTGGAAGATTTATTCGACTCATTGGATGAAGCCCTCGGAAAAGTCTGAATAAGCTCCCAAGGGCGCTGGCAGATTAGTGTACAATAGACAATAGACAATGAGTGCACACTTTGAGGGTCGGAGAGCTGCTCACCTTGTACTGAGTCGGCCCCGGGGTGCTCATTTCCTCTTTGCTGGGGAGGAAAATCCGCCGCTGTGCAACCGAGCCAAAGGCGGCCTTCCTGGAGCTCTGTAGACTGGCTTTCTTTAAACTCTCCTGAGCCAGGCCATACCCAAACATGTTATAGGCACCCGGACCTATCATGCACAAGCAAGATCAACAGTTACTATGGAACATTTTCACCTTTCCGGGTTTCTCAATAGAGGAAGTCTTCATAGTTGGGTAAACTTGAGAGTAAAGCAAATAATCTTTTTACAATCCTATTTGCTGAAATGACAAAATAAAAACTCCATGGTGTTATCAAGACTTTCAGAAGTAGGAGAAAAATATTGTGAGACCGATAACAGCTGACAGAAGAGAGAACAACGTCAAATTTACTGTCCTGCCCCATAGACGCTGCATTTCAAATACCTCACATATGTGGTAATTAGTTTTTTTGTTTTTTCATTTGATGCAATGATGATATGATACAAACGTAAGATGCATATAAATGTACATCCATTTTTAAAAAAATCTCAATTAAAAATAAGTTAAGGGGCCCTATCATACACCCGGCGCAGTGTGGCGCAAGGCGTGGCGCAGTAGTCTTTTGGTAGTTTCAGCTTGGCGCAAGAGTCATTTTGAGGCGTTGCGCTACGCTGTTTAAATAGCAGATGCATTAGCGCTCATTTGTGCGCCCATAGGCGTTCTGGTCTAAAAAGGAAGGCGTTCTGAGGCGGACCGCTGGTGCGTTGCTATTTTGAGAAACTATAATAGATTTTTCATTAGACCAAAACAAACCCGGTCTAAACTCCGGCGCAGAGTTGCGCCTCGCTTACACACTGCTCAATACACACAAGAGAGCAATAGGCAAATATCTTTACATATGAAAAAAATTAAATATTAAGGGAATATATATAGGATATAATAAGAATAGATATAGAATACAAATACAAAGAATTAAAATATTACAAAACATTATTTTCTAGCCAACAAAAATATGAAAAATCACTGCTTTTATGCCTTCATCATCTCGGGAGGCTTTTTCAGTTCATTCATAACAATTTGCTTTTGTATAATGTTATTATTATTAGCAGTATTATTTATTATATCCATATTTATATTTGTTTTATTAAAAACAAGCTTAGATTTGCCCACCTGTCAGGTTTTAGACCATATGGGGCATGGCATGTGTTTTAGGATATAACTCAGGTTTTTGAGCACACTTCGTTATTATTGTTCATTTATTCGTTTGCTGGAAATTAGAACTGAATTTAGAAATAGTTTTGAAACGAATATTTGCGCTTAACAAACAAAAGTATTTATTTATAGACTAATTGATGTCTGTGCGTAAAGGTTTCCCTATCCAAGAGCAAATGTGAAATTAGATCCATTATCTCTCATTCTCACGCAGGTGATGCTCTGTTTACTGTTTTCTGTTAATAAAAACTGTTAACTGTTTGCTTGTGAAATGCTCATTTTTTCCTCTTAGACTTACTTTGCGTCCTGTAAATAGTGAATGCGCTCTTGGCGTGACGCAGCTGACTCTTAAAGGTAATGGGAGATGAGACTCTAATTGGTTTAGTCTCAAAACACACCTATAACTCATTAAGAAAATAAACTCAACCCTTTTAGACCATGCGCCGCGGCGCAAGGCAGATTTCCCGTCTTTAAATTAGCAATAACACGTCCATACACGCCCTGAAAGCGTTTGCGCCCTGCGTTTTGCGCTCTGCGCATGGACCGTCAAAAACGTTCAAGGATTTAAGATGCCGATGACCGTTAAACAAGCCATAACAGTCTTGTAGAAAAGGGTCCATTAAGTAGTTTGGGAACTACATTTTGTTTTGTGGCTTTGTTTAATTTACAAATGCTACAATTCAGTTTCAGGTCTGTAAGATTTTCTGTTTTGTATGCTCATCAAGCTGGCATACATTTATTACATTATTGTGTTAATAGTAGGGATGTAACGGTATCAGAATTTCACGGTACGGTAATACCTCGGTATGAATGGCACGGTACGGTATTTATTAAGTAATTTACAGGAAAACAAAACTAATGAAAAGACTTGAAAAAAGTGGCAAAAGTACTTTTTTTACCTTAGCACTGAACATATCAATGACATACAAATTAGCCATCTATCTGTAAGTTTCGAAACAGGAACTTCAATTTTTTAATTTTAATAACAAAAAACTATTAAACCATATAAAAAAATAAAGTTTCAATTTAGTATTGTTGAAAACACATCACGGTAAACATTTAATCACTCACTCACTCACTAAGATAGAGATGGGGTTTTTAAGCAAAATGATCATATAACTATAATCTGGTAAAAGCTGGGATCTCTGGGCATTTACAATGTCCCCTGCAACAGAAAAAAACCCTCTCATTTGGGACTGAAGTTTCTGGGACAGAGAGATATGATTTAGCCAAGGTTGACAGCAGTGGGTAACGCTGTGCATTGTCTTTCCACCACTTGAGAGGACAAGCCATGAGTGAGATAGAGGTCTCTTTGTGGTACAAGTCAATGTCTGCATTAATCTAACAAGTGTGCTGTGTTCTGCAGTCCCCATGACTGTTTTTAGTCGTATTCCCTGACTTATATTTCACCACAGTCTGGCAGTGCCTGCATACTGTTTTTTTCTTTGTCACCTTTTCTACTTTTTCATATCTTTTTAGAAAGAAACCGAAATACTTCCACACATCCGATTTAAAACCCGCTTTAGGTTCGATCATTTCCAGCTCTTTTTCTTCCCCCCTACTAGCAACACACTCCATTTCCGCATTACTGGATCTGTAGTGACAACAGACCGCAAAGGATGATGGCCACGCCTGGGCTGATGGGAATTGTAGTTCCCGCTACCTCCCGTTCGCTTCATTCGCCTGAGCAAACTTTTCTCAGAAATATAGTTTTATTAAGTCATGCGCCTACGGTAATATTGAAAAAAAATTACTATTGCGGTATGACGGTATTTACAATATTGTTACATCCCTAGTTAATAGTGCTGTTGACTTTACCTAAGACCACCGTTTTGGATGAAATCTAACTATACTGTAAAATTTATTTTATGGCTCAGTAAATAAAACAGGAAAAATCATCTTAGAATATTTTAGTAAAATGAAAAACTGCTCAATATTAATTAAAATCTGTGGTAAATGTTACATTTTTGCCAGAAAAGTACTTTGTGACTCAAAGTAACATTTATAAGATTTAATGGAGTATTTGAAGCATATTCAAAAATATCATGTAAAACTTAAACCAGCACCTGGTGTAAAGCAATCACGTGAAGATGGTTCCATTCCATCTGTTCTCGACAAGTAAGTATTGTTTAAAACGCATTATATTACGGATTTTTACATATAGTTAATTCAGCAAATATTGAACTGTGGTTTCATGCCTTAATTCTGTACCTTTAAAAAGTTTAGAGTATTCTTGAGATAGCTTTATATGCTAATGTTGGTTAGCCATACTAATAGGGTATATCCCGAAGTATGCTAAAAGGACTTTTAATTTGCCAGTAACATGGGTCAATCGCTTCCAATGAACTGTATGCCGTTGCAAAAATTAGCATGCTTAAGGTCCGATTTCTTTAAAAATCAGCGATCTCTACTGGCTGAGTGATATACGATATAAAGTGGGTCTCAGATTGTACAAGAAGCACTGCATTAAACTACATTTTTCCCCGACATGTCTTTATAATATGAGCATTTATTTTACCCCAGTATATTCAATGCTCTATTTGCTGGCTGCCCAGCATCCTCTATTAACAAACTTCAATTAGTGCAAAATGCAGCAGCCAGAGTTCTGACCAGGTCTAGAAAATATGATCATATAACCCCAATTTTATCCTCCTCACACTGGCTGCCTGTTAAATTTCGTATTGAATTTAAAATATTACTTCTCACCTATAAAGCTCTAAATAATCTAGCTCCTGTTTATCTAACCAACCTTCTGTCTCGCTACGAACCAACTCGCTCCTTAAGATCTCAAAATTCAGGGCTTCTGGTAGTACCTAGAATAGCAAAATCAAGTAAAGGAGGTCGAGCCTTCTCTTTCATGGCTCCTACACTCTGGAATAGCCTTCCTGGTAATGTCCGAGGCTCAGACACACTCTCCCAGTTCAAAACTAGATTAAAGACCTATCTGTTTAGTAAAGCATACACTCAGTGCATCACCTAGCAGGTTCCACACAGGCTTCTACATTTTGCTTATATACACTATGAACAGCAGCTACGCTAATTATTCTCTTTATTCTCTATTTTCACCTGGGGATACTCATCCCGAGGTCCTCAGATTAGGCGGAGTCACTGATTGGATCCAAGACCAGCGACGTGATGATCCCAAGGATTCCATATCCGGGACCAGGCCATATCCTGAGCTGCTGCTGCGCTGATGGTCGTGGGGAGTGGAGAACATGTGTCTGATTCCAGCGACGCTCCAGGGACAGACGAGTCTTCATTGAGGCCATCTTCCAGCATAAACCACGGCGAATGAAGTTCTGCACAAGACTTTTGGCCAGCGGAGAAATTAAAATGGTCGTGCCCAACTGAGTCTGGTTCTCTCAAGGTTTTTTTTCTTCACTCCCATCAGGTGAAGTTTTTTTTCCCTCCCCGCTGTCGCCACTGCCTCGCATGGTTCAGGATTGGTAGAGCTACGCATCGTTGAATTTGCTCTTCAGTGTTTGAACTCTCAGTAATGATTAAATCACACTGAACTGAGCTAAACTGAACTGAACTTAAACACTAAAACCTGAACCACACTGTTCCAATTACTATGACCATTTATGTGAAGCTGCTTTGACACAATCTACATTGTAAAAGCGCTATACAAATAAAGCTGAATTGAATTGAATTGAATTGAATATTCAATAGAGCTTCTGCGCTAGCCTGTCGATTCTGACGGGTGCCAAAGTCTATTTAACTAATGGTATTTAATTACATTACAACATCGATACAGTAAAAGGAAACGTATAAAATGGAAAAAAAACTCACAATAACAGGTCACCTGAAGTTTATCAGTATGGGAAGAAAGTCTAGCTTGGCATATACTTATTTTACATTATAGGCTTTCTATGAAAAAAAAAAAAAGCTTAAGCTTTAAGTTTCACATAAATATGTGTAAAAAGTGAGGATATGCTATTTAATTTGTGTGAATTGTCTGTAATTTTACAAGTTTGAACATTAACTTTTGAAAAGATGGAGCAGCCAGGAATATGTGACCAGGTTTTCTTTCCAACACCCAGAAGCACAGGTTTAATTGCTTGTTATTTCTTTTATTGCTATTTGTTTTCTAATTAAATACTCCTAACTATACACTGTCGTGGTAGTTTTTGTCATATAACAGATTATTTCATTTTATTTTATTTGCACTGCATAAATAAGCATTTAAAAGAACAAGTGGTTTTACTTAATTATATTAATTACATCAGATTTCTAAGTAAAACTTACTCAATTAAATTTATCAGGTCAAGTTACATTCACTTATTCAATTAAGATAAGTACATTTATTTAATTACCATATGTGTGAAATTTTAAGTGTGAAATTTATAAGTAAATTACACTTATTTTTTTCAGTTTACATTTTGGATGAACTGAGGATTACTAAGGGCCTACTCACACTATGCCATCCGTACCGTGCCCAGGCCCGTTTCCCGGATCGTTTGAGAAGTGTGAGTGCGCTGAATCGGGCTCAAGCACGGTTCACTTGGCCGGCCCTGGCCCGGTTGGAAGAGGTGTGCCTGAGCGCGGATCACTTGGGCTTTGGCGCGGTACGCTTGTGTCTGAGTGCAAAACGCGCCAAAACCCAAAACTGAAGCGATACGTGACTTTTAAGGGGTTGTTTCATATGGATTTATTAATCATTCTTACTGTTCAGTGATCGCAAACTGCCGTAGCTTATTAAAGACGCAAACCCCTCACTGCACCACAGCTGTACCTACAGCAGACCTCCTCATTCCTGCAGCACGAGAGCTTTATGATTGTTTATGCGCGCCAAAAGTGGCGGATCTGTCCGGTGAAATATCTGACTGCGTGTCACCGCATCCCTAAGGACTGTTTGGCGAAATATTTGACTGCATGTCACTGCATAACAAACGACTGAAAGGATATAACTAGAGAAATCTCCACTGTGCTACTGGGTGAGAGCGTATAGCAAGCCGTTTTAGCATTTAAACCTTGTTCAGACTATCCATAAATATATTTAGAGATATCTCTAATTATATTTTGACTTGTCATAATTATAATTCGACTAGTCAGATTGGAAATATCTGCAAATACATTATGACTGACTAGTCATATTCCTCCATTGACTTCCATTAAAAAATATTTGCAGATATCTCTAAATAAGTTTTGACTAGTCACAATTGTAATTAGAGATATCTCCAAATGAATTTTGACTAGTCAAAAATCCAATTCAAGATATCTACAACTGTAATTCGACTATTAGTATATTAATTAGAGATAACTTCAAATATATTTGTAAATATCTCTAAATATGACGAATTAAAGATATCTCTAAATGTATTAAGACTAGTAAAAACTCAGAGATATCTCTAATTAAAATTGTTACTAGTCAAAATTCATCTGATTTCGTACTAGTACAATTGTAATTGCAGATATCTCTAATTGTCATTCTGGGTAGTGGAATTATAATTATGACTAGTCAAAATATAATTAGACATATCTCTAATATATTTATGGAGTCAGAACAAAGATTTAAATGCTAAAAAGGCTTGCCATAGAGAGCGCTTCTCACTGAACAGAGCAGCAGCGATGACGTAAGCGTGCCGAGGCCCGATATGGTGTGAGCGCGGGCCGTCGGGGGAGACGGGAGGGGGGACAAGCGTGCTTTGGCCCGGTTCGAGGCAACTGTACCTAGTGTGAGTACGGCCTAAATGAACGATTTATTTAAAGTCAGCATGAACCCGTTGATGTACTTTCAGCTGAAACAGAATATTGAGTAGGGGCAGGCCTTTCTTGAACACATCATTCCCTCATAGACTCGTAGATAAAGAAATATCAGTGGATTAATTTGCACAATTGAACATTGTAAGTTTAGACTGCACACATACTTTAAAGATGATTCCTGTGAAATTAAAATAATTTTTTTAGATGTCAGTTTGAGTGTGTTAGTTTTAGGGATATCTATATGTTCCGAAACAGTTTTATATTTTCTAAACGCATATTTTGTTACTGATATTAAAATCCAAAGTTTTTAGTTTGTCACTTCCGCCTAAATAAATCAACAAATTTTTTGACATCACCTCATACTTCAGTTTCTCATTAAATCTTCTGACCAATCAAATACTCTTTAGTGTGGCATGCCCCACCCCTTCTGATTTGCTTTTCATTTAATGCAACCACTCTCACTGGCAGAGCTGTAATGGAAACAAAACACTATTGGCTGTTTTTTTTAATGGGGAGGAGCTACTCTATGTCCCGCCCTCTCTTTATTATTCAGTTGAGATTACGTCAAACATGGAATAAAAATAATGCATATTTCAAAGCACTTAACAGGACATTTAAAGTGTCATAGAATCTGATTGGTTGCATTAAGAGTGGCCTCAGATCTAATTGGCTGCTGCCAGGCATTTCTGCAGCAGTATGAAATCCAGTGCTAGCTTCACTAACTTTGTTTTCTCCTCCAGCAAAGCAGTTGAAATCTGACCTCTGACTGCTCTTCACAGATACATCAAGACATTGTGCATTCAGAACGCAGCGCAGATTCACATTCAGACAGAAAAACACGCAGTCACGAACCCGGAGTAGCTTTCGATCTGTTTTCTGGAAGGAATCGCACAGCTGTCTGGCCAAAAGGATTCTTGTTCAGCGCTCTGCCTTTCTTCAGGATCTCCAGAGCACAGCGCGGGTCATCGTACGCACCTACAGGGGGCGTTTCATCCTTGACCGGACTGAACCGCTACGAGAAGCAGAACAATACTGAAATCAATACAAAGTCCACATAAAGCTGAAGTCACCTGCTTATTCTGCAGCTATTAGACCACTATTATTGTTTTATTCTACAGTTCACTTTTTTAAACAGTTGAAGTCGGGGCTGCATGGTGGCGCATTGGGTAGCACTATAGTCTCGCAGCAAGAAGGTCGCTGGTTCGAGCCCCAGCTGGGTCAGTTGGCATTTCTGTGTGGAGTTTGCATGTTCTCCCCATGTTGGCATAGGTTTTCCCCGGGTGCTCCGGTTTCCCCCACATGCCTAAAAGGGTATACGAGAATTGGGTAAGTTAAATTGTCTGTAGTGTATGAGTGTGTGTTTCTCAGCGATAGGTTGCAGCTGAAAGGGCATTCGCTGCGTAAAACATGTGCTGGATAAGTTGGTGGTTCATTCCGCTGTGGCGACCCCATATTAATAAAGGGACTAAGCTGAAAAGAAAATGAATGAATGAATTATTAGCCTCCCTGAATATATATATATATTATATATATATATATATATATATATATATATATAATATATAATATATATATATATATATAATATATATATATA